AATTGTGGAAAGAGGTCATCCATCACCAATCCTTGTTTTGTCCTTAGTTTCCACACTTTCCCAGACCCAACCCCCACCACTGTACCTTGATCTATTCCACTGCTTCCCATCTTTTAATTTTCACTTCCCAACTAACTTCTTCTATCTGATGTTAGACAGATCAATCCTGTCACAGTTTGTGTACCTTTGGTCTTTTCTATAGAGAGGTTAATATACATCTTACACATGGGCTTTCTCTCCAATTCATTCTCCTTCCTCCTCTCATCCCTAATTCCATTTTCTTTTCTCTTGCATCCAATCCCATCTATCTACAATGTCTTGAGGAGGTGATATTCATCAACACTTGTAAAATCTCATTGCTCCCCCTCAATATCTTGTTCACCTGGGAATGTTTTTCAACTTCTTTCTAAGCTGTGCTCACCATTCTCCTATCTACCTGTGAGCTATGGAACTACTAGTCACCAGGATTGATGCCAATATTACTTATACTGTATGAGAGGTTTTTGGGGACCATGGCTTCACTGGAACCACTTATCTCTTTGGGTTGTGCACATATGCACTTCCTCCAGTAGTCTTTACATGACCAGTGGAACCACTCACTGGAATCTTTGACCTCATTGGTTCTCCTGTCCCATCCTTTAATCAAGGATCTGTATTGGTGGCCAGATCAATCCAATATCATCATCAGTGTTCCATTACCTCCACCCAAACCAGACCGGCACCTCTTCGCCAATGCTTTCCTCTTTCGTTGGGTAGCATATCTGAACAACAGTTTCATTTCCAATATGTGGATCCAGGATGAATCCTCTCTACATATCATAGCATTTGAACTTCTTGCAATCTTGTCTACAACATTTTGCCTTTCTCAAAAATGCAAGGTGTTTTTCTCTCCAGTTCTCTCCACCTTGCTCCAATCCTTTCTTCTCCATAGACCTCCTCACCCTGTTTCCCACTGGGACCTCAGTGTCATTCTGCCTGCTTTTACCTGTGCCCCTTTTAAGCTGTTGACAACCTGAAACTTATACTGCCTTTCTCCGAAGACCAGTATCCTTTTTCTCCTCACCTGTGGTTGCCATCATTCAGAAATCTGTGCTATTGACTCTTCCCTTACATTTTTCTATCCTTCTTATATTCTTCTGACTGGTCCTTCCTCCCTAAGACTTCAGCTGCTCAAGAAGGTGACTGATTCTTTCTCCTATCTCCCTTCTATTTCACACCTTTGTGGTCTATCAGACCCGGAGAGACTGTTGTGTCCTCTTCATGCCATTCTTTGCTGCTTTGCTTGTACCCCCTCACTTTCAAAGCACCCATCTTCTACTTTTATTCCATTAGATTCCTCTTCCTCCAGGGACACATCTTCTTCTACCCCTACAGGATGGATCCATCAACTTCTACATTTTGTCTACTCCTCATTAGGGATCGATGCTTGCACACTGTTCCAAATTCATCACCATCCATTCCCTCACCACTTGTTTCAAACAGCTGCTGCACAAGATTTTTTAGGCTGACATGAGAACTACCTCACACACCTTCGTCACCCACTATCTTCATCATGTGGCTGTCTTGTCTCCACTATTCTACAGTCTATCCACCATCCCTAGATTGGTGAGTACCTTTCCTTTTTTTTTACAGCATTTGCTTATAGGATCCCACCAGGTGTCTGGTGGTGCCTCCCAGGGTATACTTATTTCCCCAAATTACACATTGAGAAAGGATAAGGGAAAGTGCTCATACCATCTGCTCTGACTTCATATATACCTACTGTGAGATGGGGTTTTCGGCTAGACCACTTGAGGTATTCATGTGGTATATTTCAATATCTGACTACTTTCCAATCTAGATAGTACCCATTCCATGGGCTATAATGGAGAAAAACCAGCACTAGCTTGTGTTCTGCCCATTATCTTGGCTCACACTTGCTGGATTTTCAAAATAGAAACAAGTGGTCACCTGTTGCACTGTTTCCAATAAAATACATTTCTGGCTGAAAGACTGTTGGGGATCTGGACATTCTCTTTGAGTCTCCCCACCATGAATTCCTATTTGAATGGAGCATGGGAGATCCTGGCCATTTATCACTGGGGTAGTGGACCATAGAGAATTCTCATTGATTGGGACCTAACCACTGGGGCAAGAACAAAGGGTGCCAGTCAGTGGGAAGTGGGGCAGTGGTGACACTGTAAGTGTAGTGCAGGTCACCCCTCACATAACTATTCTTATAACATACCACTTGTGCCCTCCTACTATGGCCTTAGTCTGTAGAGTTGAGTTGAGGCAAGCATACACTAACAAACCATGTCCTCCTCTTGCAACAGACATCTATTCAGTAGAGTCGAGGTGAGCATACACTATACATGTGTGCTCTCTTCCTGTGGTCATCACCTGTTCGGTTGAGATGAGCATGAGCTAACAAGCTGTGCCCTCCTCCTGTACTTGATGTCTGTTCAGTCGAGTCAAGGCATGCACACACACACACACCATTACACACTTTATTGCATGGATACTGTGCTCTCCACCTGCAGCTTGTGTTGGTCCAATAGTCAGATGGTAGAGGTTTGAACACACCACAACCATGATATACATATTGGCTCTGCAACCTTATGTGTGCAAGTTATTGGATGGCCATATTCTTAATTCACCCATCCCTGTGGTACATGAAGCTTATTTGCCTCTTCCTCCCATTTTTTCCTAGGCAAAGAAGAGACGCAATTTCCTATGAGTGTGTCCGTATGGAGCCCCTGCCATTGGGTGTCACAGTCCATGGATTTTCTTTGGGTGCTTTCTGAAGGGAACTTATCTAGGTAACTTTTTGCACTGGCCTCTCCACCACTTCATCTTGGGATTCTAGCTGAAATGTGTGCAGCAATGTGGTATCATCTTGGACGTTAACATTTCCATATCTGAAAATATATTTCTGAAAGATACTTACACCTCACGCACATTCCCATCCATCATCCCCACTCCCGGTACTCGTTTTTACTTCTTTTGTCAAAGAATGGAGATTCATGAATGCAAATGCATATAGAGGGAGTTAGTGAGTAAGAGGTGTGTCTCCCTCCTATTGATGGAGGGCTTTTGCTACATAATAACATCATTATGCAGTAGCACGATTCACATTCTCCACATGCAAAATTTCTTAAGGCTTAGCAAGCTATGACAAGCAGCGACCGAGTATAAAGGTAAGAACTGGAAGAAATAATTGTTTGCTTTACTTCTTTATTTACTGTTCTTTGTTTTAAGAAAAATAAGTGTAAGAAGTTATTTGTAAATAGCAATAATTTATATACTTATATAATGTATAATAATTGAAATGTGACAGTATTTTACAAAATACTACTCCACTAAAACACAACCAAGACAGGTCACTTTGTACAGACTAAAGGTCAGTTTTATATTATTGGATTTGGTAACATGAGAGCATGTGTACCACATCATTGTAATATCTGTATTGTTAGCCAGGCACGGCTGAAAGGTCAATATAATAAAAATAATAAATATGTATAATGTTATGAGATTTAACCTATTTAGTCTAAACATTTATATTTTCGTGTTATTATCTGTAGTCATTGTAGAACAAAAATGGCATAATGTATATTTATTTCCTAATTTTTTATGGTGGTTATGTTGGATAATTGTTAGTGGATAGTTATCAAACGTTTCTTAAGAAAAAACTTTATATTTTATCTGTTATTTTTAGACAATATAAGGATTTTGCATGTGAAATTTGAAAATTTTTCTGATGCATAAAAATATTTTTAATCTTAAAATAAAAATTACTTTGCATGTTGGATAAGCAACATGTGAAAAGAGAAAAAAAGGCATGAGAATATCATTGCTTTAGAAAAAAAATCACAATTAAATATATTATTTTTCAAAAACTACATACTTATAAGACCTTTGATCTCAAATTTAAAAGAATTTCATCCACTAGTTTCATTTTTGTAAAGAACTTTCACGAGAGTTGCATACCTAATCAAAATGTAAGTAGATTGTAGTCAAAGCATTAAAGGCTAGTGGAATACAAATCTCTAAGGCATACACATGGGAAAGATGGCTTATCTATGTGAAAGGTAGGTGTTTATCAGAAATACATTTTCGGGTAAGGAAAATATTAATGTCCAGAATTTTTGTTCTAATCTATATTTGTTTTTTCCTAACATAACATGTTTGGATGACAAGGTGATCATTGATAGTACATGTTGACCACTACATTACCTGTATAAGAGGACAGCATTGCTACATCTTCATGCTTTATGTTTCTACAGGCTCTTGTAGAATCTATGCTCTAATACTTGATGAATTAGTTTTTTTGTTTATTTTTTTCAGTAAAAAAAAATCTTGAATCTACTGTGGTATATAGATGTATCACTTAAAATGAATTTAGATTTTGTTTCTTGGGAAAAGATAAAACTACATGGTTAGTTGCATTTGGTCATTGTTCATTAATATATTTTTTGGAAAGAAGAGAATTTTACTTATTTTAATAATACAGTTATATGGTAAATTACAAATTTTTTCAGTTATGTGCTTATCTAAGTTGATGTTTTTTTTTTTGGCATTTATTAAGCTCCTTTCAAATTTCAGTCATCATGAAAGATCTTTTTAATGTGGTAACTTGTAGGTGACTTTAAATTTAATTGCTGGTTTTATTTGTTATTAAAAATAGATTGTAATATGATCTTTCTTTTGGAGATACTTTAATGTACATAACTATTGTGAGTGAGAAGTGCACATCTTTTTTAATTTCATGTTAATGTTTAGAAACTTTCTAATAACATACTCTGACTGCTAAACGTACAAACACATATAAATTATGGTCACTGATGAGCACGTTAATTTAAAGGTGTGCAGACATTGGACTTTGTTTCTTGATACTAAAATAAATGTCACCTATACACAAACAGTAATTTAGTTGTACTGCAAAAGCTCCTACTTTCAGTAACAATTGAGTCTCAATATTATAATAAAAGGCATTGATTTTTTTTTATTGAATTTTCTAGGGTACAAGCTGCTATATCTGAAGAACGTTATCTTATGGACAGTGTGGAAAAAGAACTAAAGGATTTATCTATGGATCAAGTGGAAGAGATGTTGTCAGAAGAAAAGTAAGTTTTTTGAAGACATGTATGTAACACATTGATAATTTGTAAAGTTTTTAATATTTTGTCCTGTTACACATAATATAATTTTATATTTTATATCAACACTTACACTGTCTTATTAAAAGTGAATCTCTTGTACTTACATGTGAAAATCTTGGAACAAAGTTAAAATATTCATATAATGTCGTAAAAGAAGTTATTATTTTTGAGCTGTTTTACACACGTCTTTGTTATTGACAGTTTGCAACTGTATGTTTAAGAATTTTGGAGTGTATTAGAAAGTTAATCCAGTACTATTTGTACTGATTTTTCTGTACATACCTATTGGAATATTTAATTTAATAAATTCATACAGTGTTTACTTTTGGCATTGGTACTTTGTCCATTGAAATAGTCATGTAGCTGGCAATAGAAAAACAATATACACTCTTGGTTTGTGTGTTCTTGTGTACTTGTGTATTTTTTGCAATAATTTTTAAATGATTGTATTCTCCATCCTTCTATTATAATAATGGTGTAAGCATAAAATAAAAAATGTTTTAACTTACTCTTTTGCTTACAGTAAACTTTGACTTTATCTGTTCTCAAAATATTTTGCTATTATGTTTCATGCTACATTCTGAACCCTTTTTCTTATTTCATGTATACTTAAAACTCAAGTACACTTATTGATTCAAACTAAATACCAGTCACGTGTAAAAATGGTTGTACATGTCAAAAATAATTTCCCGAGGTTGTCCAATGTTTCAAAAAAATTGTAAATTCCTGATGTGAGTCCTAATGTTTTGTTCCTCTCCAGTCTTTCTCCTCATTGGATATAAAATGAGAAATGAACCAAAATATATAATAAAATGGTTATTAAGCTTATTACCTGTAAGCTTTAATTACCAGCTTTTGTTCATTTGTCATAATGTTACATTATTCTGCGTATAACTTATCATTAAGGAAAATATAAAGTCATAGAACACACAACGCTGGATTTTAAAAAATACACCTTAAAATGAGTAAACTTTAAAAAGTGGGCAATAACTGTGTAAATTCTGTTTACTGACATAAAAATATATTATTCTAAGTAACATATCTGATAATATGATATTTTACAAAAACAACTTGGACTTTATAATGAAACTGGAAAAATTCATTTATTTTTTAAATACTTTGATTTTTCTTGTGTGTGGTAAGTAATCCTGGTATAGAAAACTTCCTTATTTTTTTTTAATTTAATTAATTTCTAGTGGAAATTGTTAACACTAATTTTTCTTTTCCCTTCATTTTTTGTCCAGTGAAATCAGCCACTTTACGGTCATTAATCACTTTATGTTTAGTTACAGTATTGTGTTACTTTAAGGGTTATTTAGTCAAAGAAGTATTTCTTTAAGCCTGCTACAATACCAAAATAAGGGGATTTCATAAAACAGGAAAAGCCTAATAGAAATGGTAAGACTGAATGTAAGGAGAATGTAATAAAAGATACCAAACTGACAGAGAGGAATTTGGAAAGGCAAATATAGCATTTATCAAAAGTGTTGTTGATGAAATTGAAGATTTTTTTCACTGATTGTTTCCTGGACAGATTACAAATTGTAGATCCCAGGAACATTCCAGAAAAATCCAAACTAAATATGCAGAGATCAATAGTTTGTCAGATAATTAAAGATTATTGATTTATCTGCTGTTATCACTTTAACTCAACTGAAGTTTGAGTTAACAGTGGTCAGGGTGTCTTTGGGTAAGTACAACAAACTCACTTTGATAGGATTCTACAAAAAGGTCTTATTTATACAGAAAGATGTATTTCTCATTTTTGCAAAGTTTTATGCTTTTACCGCCTAGTACATTTGCCTATGAATGAGGACTTTAAAAGCAAAAACATTATAGATTTAAGCTTTCAATGGTACGTTTGAACACATTAATCAGTTGGTCGATATGACTGCAATAAAGTATTTTCTTATTGGGTTAGTAGAATGAACAGAAGAGAGTTCAGAAAAATATTTTTTTAGATTGAAGGAATGTAACTTCAACATCTTTACAGTAATGAATGATTAAATGAGATTCAAGTATATATGCAAAATACAGATATCTTTAAATTCCTGTTAAGATTTTACAAGCAACTGAATTATAGTGAATATACAATAAATTCTTATTATTAAAAATGTGTTCTATTTATGTATTTGCTATATTATTATGGAATGCTTATTAGTTGCAAAAATTTCAGTTGCAGACCAAAATATTCACCCACTGTCCTATATAACCAATAAATGTGTGTTAATTTTTGTGGATAATTGAGTATATTTGTGACTAATTTAAGACAAATAAGTCACATGGCTAAGACTTTTTTTTGACCCTATTGCTAATACAGTTAGAGCTTCTTTTCCTTAAAAAATGAATTGTATAGTGTAAAATGAAACAGGACTATTTTCTTTGTAGCATCAGAGTAAGAAAACTGAAGGATAAGCTAAAAGAAACTAAAGCATTACAACAACTTCGATCAGAGCAAATGGTAAGTGTATAGGCTACTATTAACTCTTTCCATATAGGTAGGGGTCAGAGGACATGTCATCACATTTTGTACTTATTTTCAAAATTTTATGGAACTACTATTTTATAAATGTATGTCAATAAATTTGGCATCAAATTGTAGTTTATAATTGAAATTTTATTGTTGTACATTATTTAATTTTTTAATTCAAAAATTAATATTAAAAGAAAATTGCTAAATATATATTTTTGTATGTCATGTGGTACATTGTTGTTCTGCTTTTACTCACATTACATTTAATGATGCCCACAATACAACGTCTATAGTTTTGAACAGTAAGAAACTCAAATTACCAATATTGACAAGCTAGAATATAAAATTAGAGCCCCCTAACTTTTCTATTTGCTGAGATATCATTATAGTTAGTGAACCAATCACAGTGATTCCATTCACTACTTCATCTTTTGAAAATACTTGTTTACCTATGTCTACTTCTACTTCTCTTAAGTACATGTTTATACCAAACTGACAGAGAGGAATTTGGAAAGGCAAATATGTAATCCTGTCAGTCTTCTTAAAGTATTTCCATTAGGAGAGCTTGAAGTGTGATGAAGAAGGTAATATTTTGATCAGAAATGAGATTTTTAGACCCAAATCCAGCTTAGTTAAGAAGCCTGAAAAATTACAGTGGATTTTTGTGGTCTTGGTATGATAATTTATAATTTTTTGGTATTCCAAAATGCATATTTAAAAATTTACAAAAATAAATTTTTCTACTCACTCCATCTGTGAAATTCAACGAGGTTTGGCAAGTACAATGCATGAGGACAAAAAACTTTGGAACATCATAAGTAGTAGAGATCATTGTTTTCTATATATTTTTTATTTACTGTTCTATTTTTAAAAAAAAATAACTAAGATTTAAGAGTTTATTAAGCCAGTTTTATGTTATTCGACATGGTAACATGAGCTGCATCTGCACCATGTGATTTACAACTCGTGTGGCAGGATTATTAGTTAGATGCAATTAAAAAGTGAATACAAAAGAGAAATTAATAAATATAAATAGACATACATTGTTACAAGCATCAAGCTATATAGAAGAAATAGCTGTGGTTTCCTGTTACAACTTGCAGTTATTCTAGAAAGAAAAAAAGGATAATTTAGATTAATTTCTAAATTTTTAATGTTGGTTATGAGGAAGATGAAATCAACTGACCTCATATAGAACTATGGTAGAGAAAATAACAGATAAAATATTTAGATTTTCTAAAAGAAAAAACATTTGATATTTATTTAGGATGTTTTACAAATTACACAAATGAAATTTGACAATTTTTAGATGAAGAAAAGGATTTTTAATCTTAAAATCAAAATCAATTTGTATGTTGGATAGGCAACATTCTGAAAGTAAAAATTAACAAACAAATCTTTAACTAAAAAATTTGATTTTTTGTGTACAAAAGTCTGTAATGTTTACTGATAGTCTGTGAAATTTTGTGATGATACGCTTACATTGTTTAAAGGTTACTTTGGTTACGTAGTTGGTGCAGTGCACATGCCCCATAGTCAAACAGTTAATTTACCAGTTCCATTTCAATGATTGAAGCTTATTCTTATTCTTAGAAATTACGTTCATTGCTGAAATCTTTCTATAATTTTTATGAATAATTTAAATATTTATTGGGTTAATTTTATGTACATCACACAGTCTTAAAAATATATGTCATATAAAGTTAAATATTTGAAACAAAGTCAGAAAATGTGATAGAGTAATCAGTAATGGAATTTGGGTATAGAAGTAAACAAATGACAACTAATAAATTATAATTCAATAAACAAAAATTGACCATGTTTTAATATTAATGACCACAGAAAGTGGTTGCTATGGGGCATATTAATGTGAAGTGCAGTTTGGTCATGTAGTAAAAAAATGTAAAAGTATCCTTGTTTTGTCAATGACATTATTTTGAAGATTATAAAAAAAAATTGAAAAAAAAGTAGACTGTTTTGCACTTTTCCAATTGGTGAATATTATCTGTTTAAAACATCATCACAAGCAGTACATTATTTGCTCAGTTTCATCTATAATCAAAAATTTTTATAAATTGTCTTATACATTATTAAATATATGAACTAAAATAACTCTAATATCTCTATAGCTAATAGACAATTAAATAATATAAACACTGTCAAACATAAAATGTATTAATCATAATTATTTTTATATCTCATAAGTGCAAATAACTTGTTAATGCAGTAGTACACTGCCATGTTGGGTACTGCCATTACACAACTAACTGCTTTAGTTTGATTACAGGAATGGGAATATTTTATATGTTGACAATTTTATTTCTTAACTGTTTTTGTAAATACTGAAAAAATAATAGGATGTTAATTGATGTGTACTGGGGATGTTAAATCATTTCTGTATGTACTTTCATACATGGCCACTAGATGGTAAAAGGAATTTGTATTTCTGTTCAGTTTTGTATTGACATCTTCCGTACCCATTAATTTCAATTTTGTTGATATTGGTTAACCTATGCAGGCCTATACTCGAAATTTTGGTGTGTTGACATGCTGATGTTCTAATATCATGAAGATGACACACATTAATTGATATATGTGATGCTCTCTTCAGCATCAAATTTTTTTTGCTGAATTGCTAGCAGTCTTTGCATACCTGTACTTATAATTTTGCTGAATTGAGAAACCTGGATATGCTGGTATTATTGAATCATGGGGGATGGTACATGCTTAATTGGTGAAGATGTAAAGACAAAATGGTATTGGCAGGGGTGCAAAAAAAGAGATGTGCTAAATATGCTATATGGAGGGTGAGTATGTAAAATTGACAATTCCTGACAGTGTTTTTTCATTGGATGTAACTACTTTCTGAACTGTGACAGCATTGGCAAAATGGTATTTTGTAATTACCCTCCTAAAGATGAACAGTATGCGAAATTATTCAAAACACAGCTATTGTAATGTGGTCAAACATTTCCAGGTGTTAAACCAACCACAAGGAGGATAAGCACATCAGATCAAGTGGCAGATATCAAATTATTAACTTATGCATTTGTTAGTTAACACGGTTTGCCATTGTTCCATATTGAATTAAGTTCTTCAAGAGAGTTGCACATGAATCACAAGCACGGCACTGAGGAAGCTTCTTGTAAAGGAAGTAGCAAATACACACACACACACACATGGGTTGATAAGGGCTTTAAAAACTGAATTATGCAGCACTTTAAAAATTTGTCAAATACTTGTGTTTCAAATGTAGTAATCTGATAAGTCTCTCGCTACAAGGTTGTCGAATTGACTGGCCTCGTTTTGTACATAAAAAATCAAATTTCTTTCTTAATGAAGTATTTTTGCTAAAGATTTGTCCGTCAATATATATATATAGTTTCTTTTTTTTTTTTTACTAGTACAAATGCAAAGTGTTTTCCACATTAAGATTAAAAATACTTTTCTTCGTCTCAAAAATCTCAAATTTCATTTACATAGCTTCATTTACAAATTTATTTAGAAGGTTTAAACCTTCTAAATAAATTTATATTCTATCTGTTATTTTCTCTACCCTAACCGTATACAAGGTTGGTCAATTTTACTAACCTTGTAACCACCAAAAAAAAGTCAAATTAATCTAAATTACCCTTTTTTCTTTCTAGAATGACTTGAAATTGCAACATGAAACTAAGTTTAATCATTCTAAGTAGCTTTAAACTTGTAACAGTATACATCTATTTATACTTAAATTTTAATGTTTCATTGCCTTTTGAACCATGTCTAACTACTGTTCATGCCACTATAAGTTGTAACTCACTTGGAAGACGTGCTGCTCATGTTATGCTATCGAATCACATTATGTACGAGCTGCTTGTGAGCATATGTTGTGAAAATGTTTTATAATACTATTATTATGTATTTTACCTAATCTAACCTTAACTAACATAAAAAGTTTCTTATTTTTACATCTTAGTTACTTTTTATAATAATAAATAAATATTTCACATGAAAAACAAGGAATAAAGTACTTACCTGCATATTCTTTTTTTTCTTCTTCTGTTGACTGTCAATGACACTTAACCCTACTTTTTGATATAACGGTAGTACTGCACTAAATTTTTTATTTTATTAAATAATGCATCAAAGAACACAGAATAATAACATGCAAAAGCAGACAATGTCCCATAACCATCACCATTTTTCTGGCTTTCTAACTATGCAACAAGTCATTAAAATTCATTTGAGCTCAACAGTGTGTTTCCCATGGGAATAAAGCTTGAACTGAAAGCAAAATTAACAATTCTCTATACAGAAAACAACATAATATAATATGGCATTTGATAAAGTAAAACCTTGGCTTTCTATTGGTTATAGATAGGATTGATTGTTAGAATGAACTGTTGCAAGCCTGAAAATAAGCGGTCAGACACGAACAATGTCCAGCACAAAAATGGTGTTTGTTTGGAACAATTGTGTTGGTACTGGACATTCTGTCAGTATTTCAATTTGTAATATTATTTCCAAATATTTCACTAGTGACTATGACCAGTTAGATTTGAAAACAAAATTAGGTACACTATAGTCAGCAATGAAAAGTTCCTAAGCAGCACTGATAAAGCTCACAAATGATTGATGAATATGTACTCAAGCTAGATGGTCATGATGAAACTTGTGAGAAAAACCTAGGTACAAGGTTTATTTCTGCCCCAGTCCCTATGCTGCCATTTGCAATATCTTCCTGTTATAATAATTCGACAATATATATAAACACTTACAAAAGTTCAGCCCAGGATTCTGTTACAAAGTAAAAATGTGTACTAAAGTTGGTGACAGTTCTAAAATGTATTAATGAGGACCTCGCAAATGAAAATGGTAGCATTTGGTTAAGCTATGATACTGACAAGGACAAAAAACATGGAAAGGTTGTATTGGAAGTTATGTCTAAAGTATGAAAAACAAATCTGCATTCTAAAAGACTTTTTGAATGCCTAGATTATTGGCACTGAGAACTTTAAGTTATCCAACCCATTCCAATACAAAGTGCCACCTTTGAACTTTTCAGCTCTAAAAAGGAACAATTGAGTCTGTATCCTCTTGTATATATCTTCCCATTTGGATGATTCTGGAAGATCTTTGTTAGAGAAAATAGATTTCATAATGAATACTTTATCACGAGAAGCTAGAGCTGAGTTTTCCCTGGCACATGAAGAGTCTGTGTCTTCCCCAAATTAAATGAAGAATAAGTGAGTTGTGTGAACATTTTCAAGCATCAAATGCACCTGTATTGAAGTTATTGACTAATGGATGACCTGTTTACCTACAGCATCAATTACCTACAACCTAGTAAACATAATTGTAAGAAAACCTGGGTATTTCTTTTTCAGTCCTCCTATGCATAAACAAAATGGAAGAACATTCTAACATTAATTGAATTGCTATTTTCTGTTCCAGTCTCAAATGCAAAACTAGAAAGAAGGTTTTCAAAATTATAGCGAACGAAAGTTGATTCTAGTTGTTCAGTAAGTGAGCAAAGGCTAACCCATTTACATAGAATCACAGAAGGTCCTTTACTTGGTTCCTTTGATGTGACCCCAGTAATTAAGTTATGTAGTGAAAGAAAAGTTAGGAGATCCAATCAAAAGAAAAAGCAGAAATAGGAACAACACAAAGATAAAAACAAATATTACCATAAGGATAATTACAATGAGTTTATTTTAACAGGCAGTAGTAGCAGCAAAGGTGACACAGCTGATGGAGATATGAACACCAGCTGCTCTAATGTAGATGACCAGTCACCAAGTTCTGGGTCTGAGGCTGTGTGCACTCAGAGAGTAACAATGATACACATTGGTGTATTGAAAATGTTATTTTTAGTGATATCGATTCAGAGACAGAAGAATTTTTTGGCTTTTAATTTTTTTACCATCTAGATCACTCCAATTTACTGTTGTGTTTTACTGGTCTTTTTTATTATTATTTACAAGTTTTATAAGCACTATGAGAATAAAACAAGAGAATAAGTTAATTTTATCGTACGTTTTTCTTGGCTGTTTACAGTAGCATGATCATACATATTAAAATGCATGTTACAATCACAGTCTGTGTCAACCAGTGGATGCAAAGTGTTGGGAACGGGAGAAAAATTCATTTCAGGCTTATATTGGCAATTTCTGAAAGAAAGGATGTGACAGGTGGGTGTGGTAAGAGGGGTCTAATTTTCTCCTTGATGGCTCTGTAACCAAATGAGATTGAAGGCTATAAAACTGGTGCTTTGCCTGAGTGATGAAAGCATTATAATGAGCAATTTGTGTAAAATTTCATACTTCTTGGGGGGGGGGGTAAATAAATTAGAGAAGAAGGGATGCCTAGAAAGAAACTATCACAGTTCTTATACTAGGGGAAATTCAGGATTTTTTTTTAAATATTGCTTTGTAAAATTATGAACTCAAAACTTGTATACTATTAAAATATGGATTGTTATATACATTTTTATGCTATATTTATTGGTATATCTTGAAAAGAAAGTAGTTTAATTATGTTTTGAATCTAACTCAATAAAACCTCGTGATGTGCAGAAAAAGATGCCCGTAGAAAGAGGGATAAAATGTGTTACTAACATTTATGCTGTGCACATTGTGCATTTGTTATTTAGAACTTCCAACTGCTATAATGTAATCTTAGCAAAAAGTAGGCCATCTATGCTGCTGAAAACAGGAATAACCTTTAGGTTGTGGGAGGAAATATCTAGGACCAATAGTTTTTCACCTCACCATGCTTGGTAGATTAACCTTTTCTTAATCTTGGCTGCACAGAAAACTACATCATTCAATATGTTTTTAGGATGGTTACCCATGTATCTGTTGTTGTTTACTTACACATTCTCTGTGGTTTTAACTGCATTTTGAAGGCACTTGGTAACTGATTTTTAAAAAGTTTCCCTGAAGTAAAGACCAACTATTTTCTCCCTTTCTCAACTTCATTTTGAGATATATTTTTCATGGTAGAACTTTATACTCTGGCTGTTTTTATAACAGACCTGCAAACCCTTACAAAAAACACAAGAAAATACACTTGTAATAAACACTAGTAACTGAAGAAACGTGAAGAACTTATTTTTTTGTTGGATAATATTGTAGTGTATTTCAACCGTAATAATTAGTAATTAAAAGTGATCTGTTTCTTGAAATGCTAAAGTTTTTTTGAATACAATAGAAGAACTTAACTTATCTGAAAAAAGAATCTTCACGTAATTTCCCATTAAATTATCCAATTCGTATCTGTTCATACGTATCGGGTATGGGATAGCACTAAGGGCAAAGTGTGTATCCACTTGTATCTGTTCATACGTATCGGGTATGGGATAGCACTAAGGGCAAAGTGTGTATCCAATTCGTATCTGTTCATACATATCGGGTATGGGATAGCACTAAGGGCAAAGTGTGTATATCCAACTCGTATCTGTTCATACATATCGGGTATGGGATAGCACCAAGGGCAACGTGTGGGAAAAAAACACCATTTTCTAACTCAACAAATAACATTATTTACTTTATTCATATAGACTGTTAAACATCTGTATTAAGTTATAATAATGATTTGATCATATTTCTCACTATTTTATTCTCCATCAGGTAATGTTTTAAAATGATCATTCAAGTAGTACAGCTTTCTAATGTTCGTTGATTTGAAATGTTCTGCAGGTAAGGTTTTGGAGATAAAAAGATAATCTACTAATTTGTCAGATAGTTATATAATTTACTTCTGCTGTGAGTTCTATATTGTCATTCCAGTTTAATAAAGTTTCAGTCAGTAAAGATAAATAAACTTACACCTTTTTTTATCTTAACCTGCTTTGATGTATTGAAGAAAATCACTTAGTTATGGCACATCAAATATTGAGGAAAAAAATCTAGAAATTTATTTCATATAAACATTTCACTTTCCTGAGTTACAACTTATATGATAGGTTTTATTTTCATTTTAGGCTGACTTTCTTTCCAAGAATTTTCCTCTTCCTGATGAAGACTGCATTCGTAAATACAGTGAAGAAGTAGGAGCAATTTTTTTTTTCACTTTATATGATATGATAATTTTGGTTTCATGTTTTGTTTATGACTATGTTTTGATTTTTCTGTTCATAACAAATTACTTGTAACTATGAAACATTACTGTATGTCTGCTAATCTCATAATGCAGGAATCAACAGGTAAGTATCATATATATAACTCTGTGTGCACAGGTGGTGGTTAAAGTGTTCATGTTATGACTTTAATAAAGTTACATTCAAAATGTTTCTAAACAACCTTATTGTCAATATATGTTATTAACTTGGCATAAAGACATACTTTATAATTCAAGTTTTGATATTTTGTAAGCTTTGATTTCCTGACTTAAAGAGGAAATATTTAAATAAATCCTCATTTTTCACTTCTATATGTCACACGATGCCTCTGTAAATTCCCTATTTTAGATTTTGTTTCTTCTCTTATAAGGGTTTCAGAATATTTACTAATTAGATACATCAACTGTAGATATTTACAGGCCAGAATTTAAAGAGAGAATCTCCAAACTTCTTTATTTTTTGAGATATCAATAAATTTGTTTTCCAAAACATACTTACCTCCTCTCACACTATAGCTTTTAATCGACTGTCAGGGTTTCTTCCTTTGCCCATCTAAGCATTGGTCTGAATTTTTCTCGCTTGCTCCAGTCTTTTATACCCCTACTTAATTGCGCTTGGCAATATTTGTTTTGTGACACTCTCCACCTACATCAATTCACCCTCTATCCTAGTACTGTATATAAGCACCTCATTCAGATAGTGTTATCACCTTTTCTCGACAAAGCATTAAATAACGGGTTTCTCTGTACTACAGTTGTTGTATATACTTTGAGTGTTTTTTTGTGTTACCTAGTTGACTTTCCTTTAAAAAAAAAATTATTATTTTTTTTCGTTTGTCAAGCTGATACATTGCATGAATTCCTGGATTATTATTTCCTGCATGGAGACAAATCAGGTCTCTCTTATCCCGCTTCTGATATCTAGCATCGGTCAACAATTGGGGTGGGGTCACTCTCAGTTGACACTATCAGTAATCTTATTCATAGTGAGATGGAGACGTATATTCAGTTTGGTGGTGTTCTTCCAGGTGGTTCTGAGGCTGTAATTGGGGGCAATTCTGAACATTCTAGAAAGAATTTAGATTTGGTTTTCCTGCACCTTCCTTTATTCTGTTGGCTTCTCAGGAGGCCACTTTGGGATAAGCTGCCTCAGGCTCCTTTTCTTCAGATGGTCCATCAATTGTATGATGTTTTTGGTCTTTCCCCAGTTGCTTTTGAGCCTGTACCTTCCTTGATGGCTGAAAGATGTGGGAGCAAATACTTAGTTTTCCTTCCATCCACTGATATTGTGGTTCATGCAGGGAGGTTTATTGCTCAGTTACGTGGAGAGACAGCTATGTCTTGTCCGCTATGTTTGTCAGAATTATGTGATTTAGCCTACCACCATCAGGTGGAAGCATATTTGAACTCCCAAATAATACATCTGCTCCTAGAAATTTGGAGTTCTAGAGCAGAGTTTGTTGTTAACCTGAATAGATCATAACTTTTTAGGATTTGTCTCACCCTTTATACAATTCCGAGTTATTTATTATCCCTCTAAACTTTGTTGAAGATGATGAACTTGGACTATTATTAGCATGCCCATTGGTTCAATTGTCAGCTTCTACATTCATCCATTTTGTCGTTGACATCTAGACTTTCCTTGGCACTTACAGGGTATCATAGTTCCACCTCTGTTCAAGAGTCCCAACCCCCAACATCATCCTCTTGATCCATTGGTACCCAGAATAGATTCTGTCCATATCCAAGGATTCCACTACTTGGTCGGAATGCCGCCAGCGGCATCGGCGACTATTGTAAGCCTTTGGGGTTAGTGGGAGCTCAACTCTAAGGATTTCCGGAAGTGTGTAAACCTTAACTGCCACAGTTAATATCCATGGGTACTACAGGTCTTTGAGTCAAGATTAGTCATTCAGTTCACATCGTCACCACCATTATCCACCCAACCTGTAGTGTTTCTGTCTCCTGCAGATCCTCGGATTTCAGAACTTAGTTCTAGGGCTATCAGAGTTTGATTGATATGGGGTATAGAGAAAGTTGTGTCAGTTCGTTGGGTCGAAGAAGACAGAAGACTGGCATCCAGTCATTGATCTTTTTCATCTATATCAATTCCTAGATTCTTCAAGGTTCACAAGTAACTCGTTCCTCAGTCTGAGTTGATGTTTTTTTTACTCGGATTAAGGATGTCCAAGTTCGTTGTAGTCAGATCCTATCTGAACATTGCCATAGTGGTGGTGTCCAGACACTATCATCATTTTTGGGCAAAAGGGTCAAGTACTGCAGTTCAGGGTTCTTACCTTTGGACTAGCATAGGCACCATATGGGTTCTGCCAAATCATATGATCTTTTTCTCGTCACCCCCATTCTCTAGCCATGAACAACTGGTTACTGCTGGCACCATATCGTCAATTGTCAGAACATTACAACCGGATTCTACACTCAGAAATAACCAAGGCAAGCTACATTATCAGAGCTGAGACATCTGTTCTCGCTCCAGCACAGTATGTTTTCAGTCTGGATATCTTTTTCATCACATATCTCAGTCGGGCTCAGCTGGCTCCCATCCGGCTACATCCTATGGAACAGCCAGTCTGACTCTTATTCACCTCTCCTTCTCCCTCTGCACAGATGGTTCTTTCTCTTTTGGGAATGTGGGCATCACTCAATTCCCTCATGCCTTTGGGATGAGCACACAAGAGATCCCTTCAATGGTCTTGGTCTGAATTCCACAGTTACCTTATTCAGGTTCATTCTCTTCTATCTCGAGAGGTGATTAGATCGGAACAATACTAAGATATGGGTTCTTCTGCCGCTACCTTCTCCAACGATCCATCTCTTCACAAATGCCTCATTTCATGGATAGGGTGAATATCTCAATGGTCAGGAATTCCGGGGTCTACGCACAGATGACAAGGCTTTCCCTACACAATGTATTAGACCTTGTTCTTCAACAGGCTATGTTTCATGGTCTAGGCTTATTAACCCTTTCACTATGCTCACCCTTTAAACCCCTTTCTGTGCATGTCATGAGATTTTAGTGAGTTAAATTCAAAATTGAATTAAACCATTTTTCTATAAACTTATTTTGATGCACATTATAATTTAAGTTTCATATTATCTAAGTTTTATTCCTTTATTTTAAAAAGAAAAATCTGAAACAGCAATTAAAACTCCAGTTTTTGCTGTCATGTGATCCACTGTGGTTAAAGAGAACTTGCACAAGAAACTATATGTTCCTAATATAGATGGTCAAAGTACAGTTCCAGCTGTCTCTCATTAGCTGGCAGAAAACTTCCAAGACTTTCTCCAGTGTGAAACAACATTCTAATATTTCTAAGTTTAATGTCAGCCACGCTCACTTGCAAAATCAGAGCTGTGTTATCAAGCGACAGTTTGAAGTTGAATGGCATGTTTATAACCAATAGAAAGAGCAGATTTAGCACTATTCAGTTATAGCCTGAAAAAACCTCTACCTGTGTATAGATCTGTAGTATGAAATAGAAAATAAACTTAGTCCATTGTTCTCTTGAGTGGTATGTAATGTTTGGCAAGTGTTTCTTGCCTTATATGTATTAGTTTGCTAAACAGTTAATTTGCATTTAGGTTTTACATTTATATTTTAATTAATTATGTATTATTTGTGTTTTAAAATGCGTATTTGAAATGTTTATGATTTTTATATGTTTAACTTGTAGTTTACTTTATAAATTGTCTAAGTTAGATGGCGTCATTCGCACGTGTGAGCATAAGTGTTTAGAATTTGTGCATGAGAGTCGCCCAGACTCGTCCCATAATAACAACAGAGCACTGTGGGGACATTTTGTCAATGTTGGGATCATGGATAACAGACAAAGAATTGGAAAGGAAAATTAAAAATAAACTACAAGTGAAATGATAAAGACGTGAAATTATGTATGTGGCAAAAAGAAGTTTGAAAGAATATTCTACAAAAATTTAAAAGGTATCTACATTCTTCCATTTCTTAATTTTAAACATTTCATTGCACTGTACGTTGATGATAATAACTACAGTTGGTGATAAAGTAGAGAAAATGGAAAACAAAATATAAACATTTACCTTAAAAAACTCTTGATATTCATTTAGGAGGTTCTAGAGATTATGCAAATGAAATGTGAAAACTGTGAGATAAGAAATAGTATTTTATACTCAAAATGAAAATCACATTGTATGTGAACTATTCAGAGTCTGAGTGCAAATACCTACATTAAATAATGAATGTTTTATTATAAATAGTAGAAAAAATCAAAATTAAATATTTTATTTTTCTAAAACTACATAATCTTAGGGCTGTTCGAGTCAAATTTAAAACTATTTCATCAACTAGTTTCATTTTTGTAAAGAACTTTCATGAAAGTTGCATACCTAAGTAGGTCATAGTCAAAGAGTTAAGAGGAAAATCGCCAGGCTTCACTCTTATAATTCCACAGTGGTATCTTGCATTTTCTCTCAAGGGATATTTGGTCCAGACCTTTGTTTTCAAGCCTTGGATGTCCTTTCTCAGGACAACTATCAGATCACTCTAATAGCTTGCCATGTTTCACGGGTGATGACTTCAGTGGCAGATCAATTGCCTCGACCCAAACAGATTCTCCCAACAGAATTAATGCTTCACTGCAAGGTTTTTCTGTTGCATTGACTCTCATATGGAAACACTGATGATTGGTGGGTTGGCCACTCATTGGAACACCCAACTAGTGGCAATTTGGTCTTCAGTACCTCGCCCTTGCATTCTGTCAGGACAGGACAGGATTGCAACTCTAGGCCTTCCTTCCAATTTGTATGCTACCCAAGGTACTAACTATGATTCGTTCCCACCCATTGTCTGGTCCTGTTGATAGCACCTTATTGGTAGCTAAGCTCTGGTTTCTGCTTCTATGGTGCCTTCAGGATTGCCCACATCTTCCACTT